TTTTTAAAAAAAAAAAAAAAAAAAAAAAAAAAAGTCGAAAATTATGGATGAGAAAAAAGTATAGAGGAAGACGAAAAAAAAAAAGTTTTTTTACTCTTCTCCATCTCACATTTCTCTTCCGCGTCACGCGTCCTCCGCTGAAACTCCACTTCCGGTCTTCGACTACGGAACGAACTGGCGTTCGATCGGAAGCGGGATAATTTTCAAAGGCGCAGCTTCCGGACTCTCAGTCTCGTAGACTTTATCCTTGGCTCGTAACGCGGTTGCTTGTTCTTTTTTTTTTTCTTTACTTCGTAGACGTACGTACCCCAGTATATTTCTAATCCTCAAGCCGCTCCTCCATTGATCGACAGACGCCACATAGCTTGCGCTTCTATATCCGCCATGCGAGTGCTACCTGCATACAGACACTTCCGCCTGTTAGCTTTGCCTAGGTTATATACCTACTGTAGGCATAGGTGTCATTGCCGGTGTTAAGCACAGGTCATTTAGAGTCATTGTTCGGTCACCGTGTCGTTTAGCGTTCACGAGGGCCGCACAGGCCGCACGGCCGCACAATAGGGACGCACCTGCCAAAGCAGCCACGGGGGTAGGTATAGCGGTAACCCCTCGTGCAGACTCCTCCGAGGCTTTTGTTGTGCAGCCTTGACGTTCCATGGCCAATTTCTTCGATCCTCCCAAACATAACCTCACGCTTTTATTACATCGGAGTCCCAAGCCCCAAAACGGAAGCCCTGTTGCCTAGAAACGTGTAACTGTGTATTTAGTAATAAAAAAGTGTATTTGCATATATTTCTTTTTACCAGCGAATACCTTTTTTTTATTTTACAGACGATACTGTTGGGCGACAGCGGTGTCGGCAAGACGTCCATCTTGGTTCAGTTCGACATCGGAAAATTTCAAATGGGAAACTTCGCAGCGACCGTCGGCATCGGCTTCACGGTGAGTCCCTGAATCCTTTGGTAATCTCATACGAGTGACGCGGATCTTAAGTTCGCCGTCAGGAGTTTCCGTGAGGCGAAGAAAAGCCGCGTGAAGTTGGCCGAGCCAGTCCTGCTCTCGATTCTCGAGCAAAAGGGCCTTCTGGGTAGGAGCGTCGGTCGAAGGACACGAGAGCGTCGGCAAGCCGTGACAGTCACGTGTATCAGCGTCTGACAATGTGAGCAATGCATTTATGCATGAGAGCACGCTCGCGAGATGCATTCATATGTAATCTACATGCGGCCCGTTTATTTACGTGCGTCTACCGACCAAAGGCCCCGTCCGAGTCGCCGGCAGGGACAACCGCGCATATCCATATCCCATGTACAGGGAGACAGGCCCGTAGCGCGGCGTATAATGTCGCTTACGCCGGATAATTTGGCCACCGCGATGTACGCCTGTAGCTTCGCACTGCGCGCGGCTCCATCTAGCGGGGTCGAAGCGCACTAGCGTTTATTGTTACCCACAAGCCAGTGCGCTCAACCGAGTATTCACGCTGAGCTACTGGGTAAACGTATTTACGATGGTTTTGTGTATGCACGCGCGACGCCATCTTTGTTTTGACGTAATGGAAATTCGATAAACGGTATTTGCGGGGATAACAATGATAATACAGCCGGGCCAACAAAAAACAATACACACAACGGCCGTAGCCCGTGTTGACGGGCGCGCGTGCCTAATGCACGATAATTCGCAATCGTAGCGACACCCACGTGTATCCTTGGAAACACGATCTCGCCGGTGGGTAATGACTCCGCCATCTTGGCAATACATCATTCGTGGTACAACGTACGCCTATCTTCGTCGAGTGGTCCTGCAGAGTGTTTTGCCGGCGAGAGTCTGTGGTAAATGGACGTGTATTTTTTTTTTTCCATGACGAGGAGAGAAATACGCGCCGGGAGATTTAAAGGTATCGTTCACGCTTGGGACGGACAATGGGAAAGGCGATGGTAGCTGTTGTGGAGACACCTTGAGCTCGAAGATCGATGTTCGAAAGTGCCGGGATCATTCGGGCATTCGGAGAAGGTTAATTTAACGTTGAGAAAGTTTAAATTACTCTATCCGCGGACTTTCCATCTTTACGTCTATCATTACGTTACTCTGTATATATGTATATCTATAGGGATAGGTATATCGGTAACCGCTTTCTTCTTAACGCGGGAAATTTGAATTGTACGTGCCTGCAAATAGGCACGAGGATGCTCTACCGATGCCTGTGGGCTTTCCGGTGGTTCCCAATGTCTCGGGCCGATTCCCATCTTCCGGTTTCTCTCTGTAGGACAAATTGATTCCGAGATTCCGTAATAGGGACACGTTTGCCGATTCCGAGTTTAACGAATTGGATTCGTAAGCGCGCGCGCGCGCGCGCAACTGGGTCGCGAAACTTTCGCAGGCTCTTTGGTTACTCGAGGAGGATTCCCAATTGACGAGTGACGCGCGTAACGGAAGAAGCGTCGAAAGGAAACGTCATCGGCAGTTTGCACGCGAAAACGGACAACAGAGCCCCGACTTAGAGGGGGACGAAAGTTTGAGCGAGATATAGGTATACAACGAGGCTGGTGGTGGCCGGGAGGGGGGATGGCGGTGGTTAATTAATTAGCCAGGGGAGGATCGAGAGCAAAAAGAGAGGCAGCTCGGTTCCGTGCGGCTTTGGTCGCACCGTGAAAATGCGCCATGGTGCTCTTGATTAAATTTATGACGCAATGGCACCTTAATTTCCGACCTCCGTTCCATCGATTTACCAAGGAGATCGCTTGCGGGTCTTCCAGTCGGCGTGTTTTAGGGGTAATTTGGAATTTTTAATGACGTAAGTCGTGTGTACTTTTTTTTTTTTGCTTTTTTTTTGCTTGTCAATATTTTTCATTTTCAAATTCGTCTCTCGGCCAATTTCTCATTGCGTGCCAAACGACACGTGCCGCGTACATTTTGTCGGCAGTAATTGCGCAATCGCAGGGGCGGACGACCGTCCGACCGTAGCGCGGGCAATTTAAATCCTGTGGACGTCACTGGGAATACTAATAATCATATAATTGCCGCTACGGCCCTGTCGGTACGTTAGATCGCGCGACGGAGTCTCCCCGCGCGTTTACCGTGTCGAATCGAGCCGATCGGCCGTCACGATCTCGAGCTCCTGGTGAGCGACGTGACGGCTTGGGAAATTAAAGAAAGCGAAGAAGCTACGGGCGCGCACGTGGGGCAGCACGAAAATGGGAAACTGATCGCCCGTTCACGGATGACCAGAATGCATTGCGAGCTTGTGAGAAAGACTGTTTTTTTTTCTTCTTTTGCTTTACTCGCAATTTCTCTCCCGTAACGTCTAATCGCGCGTGCGAAATTCGCCGTGTATCCTTCATTCCCTTAGCAGAGAATTGTTGGTGGTGTCAGGCGATTGAACAAATATTCACCCTCGTGCGACGCCACTGGACCTATTGAACGAAACAGGGACGAGAGCGAGACGCCCAGAGAATTACCCGAGCGACGCTCCTGGATCGAGGTTGAGCGCGAAGATAAAACAAATTAGACTGACAGGTAGGGTTGTAAGTACGTAATTAGGTATTTGAAATTTTTTTTTAATTTTTTTTTAATTTTTTCTCATCGTCCCCGCGCACCCACCCTCCCTTTCGGTCCCCTTCGACGCGACGGGAAGGGTAATAAACGTAAAGAACCCGATAACGGAGGGCGGATTACGGTAAATTGTAAAGTTTGCAAGCGGAATTATTAAGTAATTTCGTGACGTCACCCGCGGAATAGCCAGTTATTAGTCGCACTCTTGATCCGGGAGGGGTGGTTGGATACGGTATATCGGGAGACGGGGGGGTGGCGGTGGTGGTTGTTTCGTGCGAGGGAGAAGGAGGAGGCTACGTAGTTGGCACAATGGTGGAACGGCGGAGTGAGG